TCAGCTGCTGTTTATCTATTATTTTCAATGGAGGCTGTGAGCTGTTGTCCTGTTTGGTCTGTTTCTGCTCCTCCATGCTGTCACAGACACTACCAGTGGATGGGATGGGCGGGGCTCAGTCTAGTTCAAGTATATGGGCAGTCCAAATATATCCTCACCAGGTAAGATATTAACTGTGTAAAACTGTTACATTGAACTAAATTTCAAAACATTTGAATGCGTTTTTTACAGCTTCCTTATGAATAGCATGGCGCAGAAGAGCATGTTATAGGATTTTTCTATTTTTAATTTTGTTTACAACAGAATAAAATACAGCATGTTTTATCAGACGTCTTCGGTGGGTTCATTTTGAGGATTTGGGGCTACATTGACAGGCAGACCGGCTCTGGTTCATAAATCAGTGACCACATCTTCCCCMTCAGGGAGATTCACTGTTGTTACCGCGGTAACAGGCACCCCTCGCTCCTCCCATTCTCTTTTTGGGCTGTACCACCTTTCTTACGGGGGACAGGATGTWTTTACAAGTCGAATACAAGTGCACTTTCAAGTTAAAATTACAACATTTATCAATAGATTATATAAAATAAACAGTTGTATTACTTACAACTTTATTTTTAAGAAGTTGAAAACAAATGCGATGTGATTCTTCAGACAATGTTACAAACACCCCCACAGCGGTGAAAGGTTAGCGAGTCCTCTAACTGTCAAAATCGCTTGTTGCTTCCAACCTTAGCCTTAAAAGTAGTTAGCGAGCTAGCATGTAGGCGCTTAGGCAGAATCTGGTTCTAAAGCTAAAATACTTGTTTTTCTAAGTTTGCTGTTGAAAAGAAAATAGTGACAAGTGTTCACTGTGATTGTTTTCTGCCGTCCCGTGCCGGTCTGTTGGTGCAACGTCGGAGACAGCGGGTCTGGATGGGACAGGTTCGACACCAGGTAAGCTCCTCCAGGTAGTTAGCCTAGGCTAGCGCTAACGCTTTGCTCTCGTGCTTGTTTGCATCAATGCGGCGTTATATTTAATGGTTAAAAAAGTTTGTTAAGATAGGAGGGGGGTGGCTAAATTGTGACCCGGAAAGCATGATTCATCACGGGCTTGTGTGTTCTGCTAGCTCCCAGTCACTGTGGAGAACACGGCGAATGAAAACAAGTGAAATGTGTCGCGCGAAATCAAGAGTTCACCTGCATGCAGCGTCGCTGTTTCCTCCATGGTATGGCAGGCCGTTGTATCATATAATCAAACACAGTCATTAGTTGTCAAGGAAATCTTTTTTTTTTCTAGACCAAATAACATAGAGTCAAAGCCATAATCGAAGCTCACCAAATAGCATCTTTACTTGTAATAATTTAATTTAAAAGCTGAGATTGTAATAAAAATAGGTTTATGGAATGTTACTAGTCATTTTTTGTAAACCATTTTTTGCTATGGTATTGCATTTTTGGTGCAACTTAAAATGCCTTATATACATGTAATTATTTGTCTGATTATTGGTGTATAAAATAGCATTTTAACTGAATGCTATTAATATCTAAATATCTATATTATTTAAAATATAACAAGTAACCATGGATCTTCTGATTTTTATATTTATATAAATATATTTTAAGTTAACTAAGCAGAGTGGTAGAATGGTCTTTGAAAATTCTTTTATGCAATAAATTGGCTTGCCATATTTTGTAACTAGTTTCAGTGTCTTCTCTGTTACTGTCGAGATCCAGAACTTAGTAAAATGAGGGGGAGTCTCCCACCATTGTATGGTCAGATAAATGTTATTCTTGAATTTTTAGATTAAAATGTAAATTTCTACGTAAAAATATCCTTACACATCAAATGTTTGTATGGCTTTGACCTTGTAAAAAAACTGAGAAGTTTTATTTCAGTGTTACAAACATTTTACAAACAACTCATTTTCAATGATGTGCATGTCAGAGTCTTGTCAGAATGTTTTTTTTTTAAAACAAAAAGCTAAAAATAGATGAATGCAGCAGCTTTTTCATTGATCTGTCTTCACAGAGTCCTTGTTTTATTTTTTATTTTTTTGCCTCCAGCACTCGCCTCGTTCTGGGGCAAAACAATCTTACCTGTCAGCCCTGTTTTGGGCGCACTCTGGTCCTGTTTGCAACTTGCACGTGACACTGGAGCCTCTGTGGGCCACAGAATCCTAAATCAGGCTAAGTGTGATGGAGCCGAGCCGTTTGGGGTCAAACAGGACGGGGATAACAGGAGGGGAGGGGAACAACATGTGGGAAGGAAGTAGCTTAGCTTGTTTGTTCTTTGGGCTTTTTTGTTTGTTGTTCCTCTCGAACAAATGTTTTCAGAGGGCAGGAAGTCTGATGTAGGATGTCTTTATGGTTACTGACAGTTATTTTGTAACTAAGGAGTCGATTGTATTGTATGTGTATTTTTATTATTATTATTATTATTATTATTATTATTATTATTATTATTATTATTATTATTATTATTATTATTATTATTATTATTATTATTATTATTATTATTATTATTATTATTATTATTATTCAGCCAAATATATAGATACTGATTTAAAATTTGATGTGGCCCCTACTCCGGAGAAATTTTGGGTGATATACTTTTGCACCGTTTTTCAACTCTTAAAGTGTTTTTTTTTTTTTTTGCTTTAACTCCATGAATCTGTGCACATGACACAATCTGGTGAGACTACGTTCACTCTGGTGTAAGGTAACTCCTCCATTTCACAAAAGCTGACACCCTCCTCCTCCTCCTCCTTTTTTTATGCATAGTGCTCGTCTGTTATTTTCCTACAGGTGCCCCCACTGTTTGAGGTGACGTCACCGTTATTTGCAGAGCTAGACACTTATCCATTAGAGAGAGAGATAAACTGTCCCTAACCCTCCATCACCCCCCCCCCCCAAAAAAAAAAAAAAACACTCAGCAGGTGAATTTGCAGATGTGGCATCAGATAAAATGTAGCTACTAAAGCGAAATGAAGACAGCAGGCAGGTTTGTTTATCGACCAAACAACACGCTTATCCTCACCGATGACAACGAAACACCCAGGCTGCCGCGTCATCCCCAACCTTTGTATCGAGAGAGAGAGAGAGAGAGAGGGGAGCAAGAGGCGAGACAGGCGCTACAGCTGTTCCATTGAGTCTGGATGGAAAAGTCATGAAGCCGGCTCTCTGACTCATCAGTTCTGTGACGCTCTGGTTTTCACGGCTCATGTGATGCTGACCCGCCTGTCATCAGCCGGGCAGAGGGGGAAGGATGACAGACAGTCAATCACGCCAAATTCAGTTTCAACAACAGAAACATCTTCCAGTGTGTTAAAGTGAAGACTGAAGTAGAGTTACAGAGCTGTGGGTAAAAGATGTGCGGGATGAAGAGAAGTCAGGAGAGGACACGAGAGAGGTGCTGATGAGAGTGGAGGGGGGTGGGGTGTTGCAGTGGGTGAGTTTAGAGGACGGATGCTGAGAGGAGGTAAAGGAGAAACGGGAGGTGGAGGGAGGGAGGGAGTGGGGGGAGAGCAGGTGTAGTGCTACGGTTTCCTGTGGGGGGGATGGTGGTAAATGTGATGATAGAACACAGACAAGGACAGGGCTGATCTCCAATATGCAGCTGCGGCAACGCTTTCCTCATGACATTCACTGTTTTCTTTTTTTCTTTTTAATTTCTCTTGAGTTTTTGTGATATCCTTCAGTTTAGATACATTTGGCTCAGGTTGCACAACGATAAGTGAAGTGACACCTCGTTTAGAAAGGCGTGAAATTGGGGAAATACCTCTTATGATCTGCATGCAGGGCTTGTTACTGTAAGCGCAGAATTTGTTCTGTCAGTCATCTGTTCAGTTCCAATCCAGAGGCAGAGAGAGGAGCTGCTGGGATTCCATTGGCTGGAGCCGTTCAGGGGACGGGGCTTGCCACAGGCTGGTGGGCAGGAAGGGGCTGGCTTCAGGACGGGGGGGTGGACGTYGGCTGGAAGTGTTACAGCCAAATAGTTTGAGTAGGCACTCTTCTGCTTCCTGCCTGCCCGCCTGTCTTGTTCGCTTGCTCTGCAGCTGAGAGAGAGAGAGAGGGGGGCGCTGAGAGAAAATCCCTGTTTAGGCATGGACCTCTGGCTGCAGCTCTCAGCAGCTCTGTGAGGAATGACAACAGCTCACATGGTCATTTACTGAGGGGAGAGACGCACCGTAGCTCAGCAGGCGCAGAGGCGACGAGCGCCTCCCATGTTCCGGGACAGGACAGAAAAGCTCCGGGTGAAACGAGGTGGGACACTAAACTGCCATAACCAACGAGCAAGGGCTCATTCTCCTTTCTCTCCACAGATTCTTTCAGGAGTTTTCACTGCAGTGTTGCTGCATACCAGTCTGGGTGGGGAGGGAGTTGACGGAATGTTTTTATCAGTGGGAGACAGAAACAACGAGAAGGAAAATAAGTAAAAAATAAATAAAAAGTGGGGGAATATGGGGAGAGTGGGCTAACTGCTTGAAGCCACGCAGTAACTACCTCCACTGCAGTTTCCGGTCCTTGAAATAGACTTTTTCTTTCAACTCCTTTGGGAAATGACATTATCTTCCTAACCGGAACTCTTTATTTCTCTTTGAGCTTGTCATCTGTGTAAATTTTTTACCAATTTTTTTCTTGCAACTCTAGTAATAGGATCCATGGATGAGAAAAGGTTGTTCGTCCAGAACAGGATGTGATGTTTCTGCTGGAAAACCTTACAGATCTAATAAGACTTGCATGATAATTAACCTTTCTGAGTTAGACGGGGCAGGATCTCTAGCTTTCTGTCTGTCTGTCGCCGTCTGTCTGGATTTAGATTGGCCGCTGGGCGCTGAGCCCCGCTTTGGTCAACCAGTGGACATCGTGGCCTGCTTAGAAAAGGCCAGGGTGGTGTCACGCGTCTGGCCGTGGATCAAGGGGAAGTGGGTGTCTTCTGAAATGGAACAACAGTCCAGCCCTTCCTGTTGAAAATAGAACGGATCAAATCCCAGACCAGTGCGCAGTTCCCACTGGAGAGTTRGGAATAAGAGCTTTTTAGTTTAGTAAAAGTTTTATTGAGTGGAGCTCAAAGCAGTTTCTAGAGTTTTTACCTTTCATAAAGCTGGGATACCCTGATCACTGTTATGTGACTGGAAATACTCACCTCTGGCTTACAGCTGCACTATATAATTATGAATCTGAAGAGTTGCTTAGAAAAACAGATCCATTTACCAAGTGTAGGAGGTGACRTCATTCAAATAAGCTGGAAATATTTTCAGCATTTTCTCAAAGTGCATATTAAAATGTCCTCTCAAAGCAGAACACTGATGAGGAGMGGAAAGCCCAGTCCTCTGGGCTATTTGGGTCACGGCGGTTAAGCTAAGGCTATTATGACATGGGGCACACCTACCTGCTGACTCTGTAAAATGCCTCCCAACGGTAGCTTACTGCTGGTTTAGGCTCTGCTCAGCTCCCTCACCCGGCCTTGTTGCTAATGGTTCAGTAAAAATGAAGCTCAAAACATCTGTAGCTTTAAGATTCCCGTTTACTTCTATAGATTATGTTTGTGAAGTGACCAAGGTGGACTGAAAATCTAAGTATTTGAAAGGGGCTACCTGTCAGTGAACTTGTCTGGTTCTGTCCAGGAGATATAAGTTATAACTGGTTTATTAGGTTCCCATTACATCCACAATAGGTCCCTCTCTCCACAGCCTTCAAAAACATTGACCACTCGTTCCCTCTTTGCCATGCAAACGACTACAAACATGGTTTGCAGCATGAAAATGGTAATAAATGGAAAGGAAAGTTTCCAGGAATCCTTCTCTACTCGCTGTCATGTTTTTTCTTCTTTACTCTGTTTTGGATGGAAGCTGTTTGCCGACGCCACGTTAAATGTTTTCACCAGGCGTACTGGTAGTTTATCATTTCTCCTGAGCAAAGATAAACTGTGCAGAGCAGCCAGACTGCACAGATACCAGACTAATGGGTTGCATACGTGGTATTCAGAGGTCAAGCCAATGACTTTCACTCGAGACACCCCGGTCCTGCTGACTCCCATTCAGTTGAGCAGACTGACCGAGATAATGCCCCCCACTCCCACCCCCACCCCCACCAGGTGGCCTTTGTAAGCGTCAGTAATCCTCGTACCCCAGTGCTTTTCTTCAAATCTCTATCCTGCTTCASTGGGTCATCCTGTCTGTCCACGACAGAGCCTGGTCAAAGTCCTCCTTGTATAATGCTCAACACTATTAGAATTACAAATGTTACAAATGGTATCATTA